AAAATAATGTTCTTTACACGAATTAATTGTTTTTAAAGGATTTTATAAATTTTTTATCGAAATATTGACCTTTGATATCTGAAATAATTTCTATTGGTCCGTGGACTTGTCCAAACTCGGATTTCTGACTTTTAATTGGTCTAACACTTGGAATAATTTTCTTTTATGCAAATAATTACGAATTTATTATCAAATTACATCAAATATCAAGGTTCAGCTTCAAAACATCAATCTGCGCCCTGGGTTGCATCCGAATAATTTCTAGATGTCCCAAATAATATAAAATGAGTTTCTAACGATCTAATCTAGATCAAATATTTCCGAAATTGTCTCTACTGGTCCGAATAATTCTAGAATCTAGTCTATTGGTCAAAATAATTCTGTAAATGTGTGTAAAATACCTTTTTAATGAGAAATTAATCTGAAGATCGCATACTCATGCTTTGGCTGCGTGTAACTTATCTATACGTCTCTATTTGTCGATTAATCGGAACGTCTTTTACTGATTTATTTAAACTTCTTTTTCATGACTCGAATTAATTATAAACTTTTGTTTCTGACTCTTTTTTCATCTTTTATTTATCTTTTTGGTTTCAATTACTCAACTTTCTTAGGTGAACTCAAAATTAATTAATACGTCATCTGTGTGACGTTTGAAACATGAAATAATTGTATTAATTTGAATTAAACAAACTTTTCTTAAAATGTATTTCCTTACCTTGTAAGTATTTATTATAATTGTATTTTTCTTTATGGGTTACCAAACAATTCTCGGCGTGTTAGTTTATGGTAAGTATCATAATGTTCGTTAAGCTATCTGTTTTTTCATTTAATTTAATTTATTCATCTTGTGTACTATTTGTTTTAATTATATTTTTTCTCTTTTATTCTACCGGAATATGTTTCGCCTTATTCAGGATTATTAGGTAGCTTGAGTAATTATTTTGTTCTTATCTTTCTATTCTTTAACTCTTTTTTCCCTTTATATAGGTTTTTGTAAACTTTTTCTTTATTAAAATGTATGATATGCAACTTCTAGTAATAATACAAAATATGATTAATAATTGATTCTTTTTAAATTTTCAACATAAAATAAATATTCGTTTAGAACTGCCTTGTAAGCGACGAGACCTTTTACATATATTATAGTAATTGTAATAAAATAAAATATAACATTAACATCGTTAAAAATAATTAATTTGTGCTGGTCGATGGACTCTGGATCTCTCTCTGGTCTGCGTCTTTTAGTTGTCTTCCTTTGGGTCGGGTCCCGTTTCCGCCTGTGGCTGGTTGTCAGGAAGTTGGTCATGCTCAGCGAGCGTTATGCTTGGTAGTTTTCTAAAAATATGGTTGCGGATTTTCATGTAATAATTATGTTTGCGAAAAATGCATACGGTCTCAAGGTTAGATTGTGACCTGATTAATACCTCGATTTTAAAATATTCCGTGCCTTTAGTTTTTTAATATTTATTTAATAATATCAATCACCTGTAGTGACTTACTTTTTGGTCGCCACTCTGTTTCACCATCTACAGAGAAGGATGCTTCTGCTTGGTTGTCCCAAGAAATCGGCCTTTATGGATAGGAGGTCGCTGATTGGTTGCCTTCCTTCCGTTCTTCGTTTGGATTGGCCGTCCGGCTGAAATGATCGTGTCGTCGGGTGATGTCCCGTTGAGATGCGGTGATGTCTTAATTTACTTTTAGGAATGGTGATTCTCGTGAATAAATACGAGATAGGTACTTTGGTGTAACACAAGTATAGAATTTATTTAAACAAAACACCAATAATTAATTAACAGGCCTTTCATTCACTCATTCCATTCACTCGCGTAATTCCGTAGAATTCGACACTCTCTCGCTCTATTTCTTTGTTTCGCGTTGTCGCGTCGCGTCGCACTAACGACAAGATGTCGGTTGTTTAAGATGGCCGCTCTATAATGTGGCGTGATGTTGCATCATCCACTACGCACAACGATTTTCGAGGTTATTTCGTCGCTAAATTCGCGCTTCTCACGCGCGTTGCTATTACGGGATACGTACTAAATACGTTTAGAAAAGATTTACGGCTTAGTTTCGCCGCTTTCCGTACTTTTACGGTTAACTCGGATTTATTTCCGAAATTCGCGTTAAATCGCGCTAATTCGCGCTTCGCGATCTTAAACATGCGTTCGGACACGATGCGGTATAACGTAGATACTTGGTTTGCACCGATTTACTCGAAATTCGCAATAAAGTTGAGCCGCGTGATTGTCGACGTCCGTCCCGTTCGAACGCTCAGTAACGACTGTTCACTGACTGGCAAGATGGCTGTTGCTAGTGCCAAGATGGCCAAGGAGAAACGGTGTGTTCAAGTTCCCCTCGTGTGTTCGGTTTCCCCGAATCTAGTTGGTTCTTAGTGATTTCATTCACACGGCCTTTTACATGGTTTAAACTAATAGTGTTTTCGGCCCGATCGGGTTTGCATCAACCTGGGTCGGATTAATCTTTCCTATTGGTTGACGTCACCCGCTCTACTAATAGGAGAGCACAAAACGCCATTAATCCAACCCAGGTTGGTGCAAACCTGGCCGGGCCAAAAACGCTATAATAGTCATGATACAAAATAATGTTATTAACATAAATAATTGTTTTTAACAAGTTTTATAAATTTTTATCAGAATAATTGCCTTTGATACCTGAGATGATTCCGATTGGTCCGTAGACTTGTCCAAACGTTGGATTACTAACTTTTAACTAATTTTATATTCGGAATAATTCTTTAATGTGCTAATGGGTGCGTTCAGCGAATACAACGGTTGTGCAACTGTTGGCAGATTGGTCACTGAACGCGCCTGATTAGTGAGCGTATTCGCAACACGTTCAGTGAGCGGACGCCATTTTTCTGAACGAATTTCAAGTATGGTCAGTGGGCACAACGTGTTGCAGACTTGACGAAATTTGGACATTTTTATGAAAATGTCGAACATATACGAGAAAACGTATACATACAATAATGCGTTATATAAAGTTACTGATACTGCTGCAGTACATAAATCATTAATAAACGGTAAATATCAATAATTAACATATTTCTTTATTTAATCAACTTTAACTCTCCACAGACCAATTTGGGTCGTTTGAGACCGAACTTTTGCTTTTTTAGATTTTTAGAGTCCAAAATTCTAACTTCTGAAAATTACAGTGACCAACTTTTGTTTAAGTGGAAAACAGGTTAGTCTGTGGAAGGTTAATCTCCTCAGATAACAAAGTCTAAAATTAGGTTAAATAAAATAAAATATTAAATAATTTGTTTCATTTGATTTTTTAATGTCTGATTTTGCAATGTAATATATCTTTATCTACTGAATATTTATGTTTTTTTTATTAATTGTACAATTTTATTTTTATAATTTTTTTTTAATTTTTGAGTTGCCTCAGACATTTTATCTGAATTTTGAACTTTGTGTTATTTGAATTTATTTTGCTTTTTTTCTGTCTCTTTATTAAGTTATGTAATTATATTTTATAGATTCCAAGTTTTCCAATTTCGCGATCCAAAAATGAAAAAGAAACAGTTATAGAGTGAAATCGTACAAGTAATGGAGAATCATGGATATTCTGTTAATGAAGACATTAGATCGCAAAATGAGAAACATGAAAAGATCATATAAAACAATTAAATAGAACAATTCAAAAAGCAGTACGGGACGTGGACCAGTATCTTGGGAATACTATGAAATATTTAATGATATTTTTGCTAATGATCGTACAATTAATCATGGACCAATATTAGAATCAACTTTAACAAGTTGTGTATCAAGTCCAGGAACGTCTAACTTATCGTGCCAATCGGAAATAATAGAAAATGATCAAAACAATCTAGAAAATATTTCTACATTAAGCAATCTAGAAAATGCTTCTATATTAAACACAAATCTTGTCGCAAATGTATTAACTCCATCTTCTCCACCGATATTGAATGAGGAAAATTTTCAATGTATGGCAAGTACATCCATAAGACCATTGTCTTCATGTTCCACATCAACAGTATCTGGTCATAACATTCGTTCATCGCCGGAAAAAAGATTAAAGAAATCATTATACAATTTAAGAAAAAAGCAATTAGAAATTGAAGAAAAAAGAGTAGAAGCAATCCTTAGAATGAAGGACTCTTTAGAAGAAAGCAATGCAATTCAACGAGAACGAAACGACTTGATAAAACAATTGTTTGATTCAGAATCTTTACAAGAATAATTTTCTTCGGTTTTTTGTTATTAAAATTTTTGTTTCGTGTTACAAATTGCCATATGTATTTTATTTTAATTTTATGATTATAAATACATATTTTATTATTTTAGTTATAATGCTAAAAAAACAGTATTTATAATACTATGTGTTAAACATACAAAATTTTTGTTTGTGATACATGATTTTGAAGGAGATCATTTAACAATTATTTTATTTTGCAATAGTTTTATTGATTAATGTTACATATCTTCTTGACATAAAATTTACTTATAAATAGTATGTAACTTACTTATGTTATTATAATTATAAACATATTATATATGACATATAAAACAACTTACTTTATATTAATAAAAATTTGTTTTTTTATCTAAATGAATGCATAATATCATCCCGTTTTGCAACAGCGGAAGCATTTCCATGTTCAAGTGGATCTATAACATCGCGTAATAACATTAAGTTATTTTCTATTTCTATTTCGTTTGCAAAATTTATTTCTTCTCTATTAATCATAAAATTATGCAACACACATGCAGCTGCTATCATTTTTTGTCCTAATTCAAAGTCATTGATATTTAAATAATAAACCCTTCGAAATATTGTTTTTAAAAAACCATAAGTTCTTTCAATAATGCTACGAATACACGATAATTTGGTGTTGTAAATTATTTGTTTTCTTGTCAAATGACCGGTATCTTTATATGGAGTCATTAAATTATGTAGTAAAGGGTATGCTGCATCTCCTATTAAATGTAATTGTGATGGCAATAATGGATCTTCCGCATTTGTTAATTGTCCGTACAGGTTACTATATCTAAAAACACGAGCATCGTGCATACGGCCTGGTAGTCCAGTGTATATATTAATAAAACGGCCTGTGTGATCACATACACCTAATAATAAAATTTATGTGTTTCTTACAAAATATTCAATTATATTGAACAAATGAAAAATGTAGAAAAAACATGTCAAGAAATATTGTAATTACCTTGCAAGATAATGGAATGAAATCCTTTTCTGTTGTAATAATCATTAGCATTTCCAGGAGGAGCCTTACATTGGATATGGACACCATCGATCGCACCTACAACACCAGGAAAACCACCTGAACGTCGTTCAAAAATCTGAAAGTTTTGTTCAACATTTAAAAGACTAGTTCATTTTGTTATACAAGATATAAATATTAATATACTAAATATTTATATTACTTACAGTAGATGATATGTTGCACATTTGTCTGTTAGGCCATACGATATATTCTGGTATTAACTGAACCAATACATTTACAATTTCTTTTACTATACCATGTCCGGTACTTTTGGATAGACCAAATCTATCTCCTACTGAAAGATAACTTTCTTGTTTTGACAAAATCCATATCGTATTGTAAGATATATACCAGGTTTAAGATACTGTATTATCTCACTAATAGTAATATTAAGAACAAGTGACGCGAGCAATTACAATTGAAAATTACCCGTGCTGGTTATCTGGATGTGTTGCGGTATAAGAGGATCAGTTTATTTGTAATTATAGGGAAATTCATTTAAGGAGTACTTAGGGTACAGGGCAAGATTGCAGTTAAAGCTCTCTTTACACTTTAGTAATAGAACACTGACTTTATTACCCGTATACTTGTACAATGAAATATAATTAATGTTATTAATACTGTAACGCTTAATTCTACACGCGTTATACAACTTGACGGAAGCCGAAGGAATCAGAGAGAATTTAATCGCCTCTCTTTACCCGAAATTGATTAATCGTTCGCGAGACAAAGGATTAGTAAGATGTTTAAATAAGGTTATATTTTTGTGTAGCTACTGCGCATGTATAAACGTTTAGACCGTTCAGGAAACTGTTCACTGATCACTTTATGCTCGATGAGCGCTCAATGATCAGGATATGCAACAGTTGTATTCGCTGAACGCACCCAATAATTACAAGTTTACTCTTGAATTAAATCAAATATCAAAGTTTTCGTTCAAAACGTTAATCTGCGATTTGGAATGCATCCGAATAATTCTTGGATGTTCTGAATAATATGGAATAACTTCCTAATGATCTGGCTTTGTCCAAATAATTTCGAAATTGATTCTACTGGTCCAAATAATTCTGTAAACATATGTAAACTACTTTTTTAGTGAGAATTTATTATGAAAGTCGCACATTCAACTTTTGATTGCGTGTAACAGTTCTACACGTCTTTAAACTATTCATGGACTAATTGGAACATCTTTTATTGACTTATTTAAACTTCTTTTTCATAACTCAAATTAATTATCAACTTTTGTCTGTGACTCTATTTCCATTATTTATTCATCCTTTTGATTCCAATTACTCGACTTTCTCAAATGAGCTTAAAATTAATTAATGTGTCATCTATGTGACGTTTGTTACATGGAATAATTATTTTTACTTGGATTAAACGAACTTTTCTTATTGTGTAATTTCTTACCTTCTATGTATTTAATATAATTGTATTTTTGTTTCAGGGTCACCAAAAAATTCACAGCGTGCTATTTATGGTAAGTATTGTTATTCTTGTTACGTTATCTATTTCTATATTTAATTTAATTTGTTCCACTTGTGTGTTGTTTATTTTAATTATTTATTTTTTCTTTTAGGTTACTCTGCTGGAATATCTTTGGATTGCCTTGTCTGGGATTATTAGGTGGGTTGAGTAATTATTTCATTCTTATTTTTTTATTCTTTAACTCTTTTTTCCCTTTATCTAGGTTTTGTAAACTTTATTTTTATTAACACATATGATCTGAAACTTTTAGTAATAATATAAACTATAATTAATAATCGATTCTTTTTTAAGTCTTAACGTGAAATAAATACTTGTTCAAAAATAAATGCTTGTTTAAAACTGCCTTGTAATAGACGAGACCTTTTACATAAGTAATAATACTAATAGCAACATATAAAATTTGAATTTTTTAAAATAATGAATTGTGTTGGTCGATAGACTCAGGATCTCTTTCTCGTCTCTTCTTAATTTTCTTGTTTGGTGTCGGGTCCCGTTCCCGCTGTTCTTCAGGAAGTTGCTTGCGCTCTGCCAAGGTTATCCTGGGAGTGATTTTCTGAAAATATTGTTGCAGGTTTTCATGTGATAGTCGTATTGGCGAAAAAATGCATGCGGTTGCAAGGTTAGGTTGTGACCGGATTAATGCCTTGATTTTAAATTTATTGATGCCTGAATTATTTAATTAATTAATTAATATTGTTCATCGCCTGAGGTGACTTACTTTTCGGTCGCCACTCTGTTTGTCCTCCTACAAAGAAGGGTTGTTGGGTCCTCGTTATCCCAATTATTTCGGCCTCAGTGGTACGGATAGCGCTGATTGGTCGGCTTCCTTCCGTCCTTCAATCGGATTGGCCGGTCAATGGAGATGTCCGTGTCGTCGGGTGATGTCTTATAATTAATTTCAGGAATGGTGATTCTCGTAGATTAATGCGAGACAGGCACATTGGTGTAACATTGATATATATATTTGAGAAATAAAACACCAACAAATAATCAATAACAGGCCTTTCACTCACTCATTCCACTCACACGTATTCTTTCGAATAATTCGACACTTTCACTCTCGCTTCCTCTTATTACTATGCGTTGTCGCGTCGCGTCACACTGACGACGAAACGGCGGCTGCCCAAGATGGCTGCCTTAAGTGATTGCGCAATGTTGCGTCACCTACTGCGTACAACGACGTTTAGAGGTTAATTCCTCGTTAAATTCGCGTTACTTCGACGCGTTATGGTACGTTTCCACTGAGCGCGTCACGCGTCGCGTCATGAAAGAGAGAAAGAGATAAGATTATATAAATACACAACCCCTCTCTTTCTCTCCTTCGACGACGCGACGCATGACGCGCTCAGTGGAAACTCAGCTTTACGTTCACGAAATACGTACTAAAGACGTTTTATAACAAATTTTGGCTCAATCTGGCCGATTCCCGTACTTTACTTTCAACTCGGAAATTATTCCGTAACTCGCGATTTTTCTCGCTAATTCGCGATTCGCGTAACTAAATCTTCGGCAACGCGATTCCCCGACACGAAATTAATCGCCCTTTTGTGGTAAATACGCGTTCCGGTAACTCTGTAATGGTGTAGTTCCATGAAGCGTATTTGCTGCGTATCGCGTAACCGCGTAACCAATCAGAAGCAATCCGCTTTTTCCGCTACGCGTAAATAGATCTTCTACTGTCCCATGGTGCGTAAAAGGTAGCCTGCGTACGCCCGAAAACCAATCATGTTTCTATATTCTCTCAGAGTTCTATGATGGAAAGCCAAAAACCGAAATTCATTGGTCATACTATTTATAAAAACGCATCATGGGACAGGAGGGATAACAAATTCGCGTACTGTTCGCACACACACATTTCTACAGATACGTATTAACTTCTATAGGACTTGTTCCGAGAGACAGGTGTCAATTAAAGAAAAATCTGTTCTGACTATACATTTATATCGCCATAAATATGAATTCAAATGATTTATTGTTTTATATTTGTGCACTTCGTCAGCAAATGTATTCGAACACTGTTGATGGTTCAGCTGTACATTTAAAATTGCGAAAATTAATAGCTATTTGGTTATTAATAAAAAAAAAATAAGCGAAATCCACGACCAGCTGTACGTAAATTTTGAGTTCATCCAATATTTTCTTATGAAAATCGATTACTTCAAGAAGCAAGTGATAATCTTGTAAAAGAATTACAATTCCACAATGACAATCAATTTTTTAATTACTTTCGTATGAACATGGAAATGTATAAAGAATTGTTAAATTTGGTGGAACCACTTATAGCGAAGCAGGAATGTATTCGAATGCCAATACCTGCAAACACACGTTTGGAAATTTGTTTGCGCTATTTAGCTTCTGGTGATAGCATGAAATCACTTTCTTATGCATATCGAGTTGGACACAATACCATTTCAAAAATTGTGTCAGAAACTTGTGAAGCAATCTGGACGGTGTTAAAATATAAAGTTTTTCCATCATACAGTGAAGATACTTGGAAGAAGATTGCTAACAAATTTGAAAATCGGTGGAACTTTCCTAACTGCATAGGCGCTGTAGATGGAAAACACGTTATGATTCAGGTATTAATTTTTCAAAATTTTATTTAAAAATAATTTCATATTTTAGAAAACTTTTCATTTAACAAGCATTATAAAAAAATTTTGTATCGATAGTAACAATTGAGTTTTGATCAACATTAATAAGATTTTCTCTCTCATCATAATTCGCAAAACATCGATGTTCCCATAAATTTTGACAAGCAGTATTCAGTAGCCATCCACAGTATCCGCACTTCAGTTGCTAGAAAAAATATAATTATGAAAGAGGGTCCTCCCAAACGTGATCGAAACGTCTGTTTATAATTATTGTATAATTTGTGTCTATGCTTATAATACTCGTTTGTTATCGATTAATACATATTATCTGGCTCATAGCCTTTCTATTATATTAATTATTATTAATATTTTATATTTAACTATTGATATTATTAATATTACAATTAAGTTATTACATAAGTATAAACATAACCCTATGTTAGGTTATAACCGGATTTTTGGGTCTATTATTAATAAAGGTTGCATTTAAACTTCTAATTCTAATTATTTCGAATAAATGTCACCATAAGGGACTTATTTATACGGTCGCCACTCTGTTTCCATAAAACAGAGAAATTGGATTTTCTGGAAATTAATCCGTTGTCCAGCGCTTGCAGTGAGAAGGTTGTCCTATTGGCTTCCTTCCTTCCTTCGCTTTGATTGGCTGCTTGGCATGGAACTGCTCGCCGTGGATGGTGTAGAGTGTTGTAGCGTGATATCTCAATTTAATGATGAATGGTTTTCGCAGAAATAATTGATTCGGCACTTTGGTAAACACAGCATAAACTTTATTAATGGAAGTAATATTAAAACTCAAAGGCCATAAATTCATTCATCTATCTCACTCGCGCTCGCATTCACACTTCCCGACGCTATTGCTATCTCACTTCTACTTCCAATAACGCGATACGTCGCCTCGCGTCTCACTAATGGCGGTTGCACAAGATGGCCGCCTTCACAATGTGGCGTGATGTTGCATCATCCACTTAGCACAAAGGCTTTCGAGTGTAAAAACTCGATTCTTTCGCGTTAATTACGCGTATTGGTTTCACGGGATAAATATTTATTCGTTTTATAAACGATCGACGGCGACTTACGGCCGTTTTCCGCGTTTTCGCGGTTATCT